TGGGTAGGTGAAGGATAGTAAAGGGTGATAACTTACAGAGGAAATCAGACATTCATCAAAGAGAGTGTATAGGTTACAGGACTGAGGATAATAGAGAACTTTATCAAAGCAGGCAAGAACAAAAACTGTCACTGGGCAATTCTCATTGTGACTACAGGAGGACAAAAGCTAAGCCATAATGCTCTCTGCTCCAGAGACATTAAAAGTCAAATTGGTAGAAAAGTGGGTTTTATGAAAAGCCTGATTTAAGTGAAGATGGAAACAACTTCATTCTTTCAAAGGTTCCATTTCCAGAAGCTCTGGGAAGAAGAAAACTTTTGGGGAGTGGAGGTGGGGGCTATGGTATGCATTAGGACTAAAAGGTAAAATTTCACCAGTTGCAAACAAGTTTTCACTTCCAGGAATTTTCACAGGTTTTAACTCCTTCTAGCCCTGGGGACCTTACCATATCAAAGGAGTGAGACTTGGTAGATTCAGCATCTGCTTCTTCCAGTTTCAGCTGGGGGAGGGTTCTTGGAAAGTATGGTCTGTAAAAAACCTGTAAGACCCTCATTTACCTCTCTAAAATGACCCATTCAGTCTGTTCTGAATATCTATTCTCTATCTGTCTAATAAATTCCTACCTACTAGTGAGTGCAACTCTTTTGAAAGTCTTCCTGTGAGATTGCAAGAACAGGCAGCTGAAACCCACTACCATAGTTGCTTTGGCTCCACAGGCTGGCCTCACTTCGTAACAATGGTATCAGAATATAATTTATAATGCACTGCTTAAATAAAAGGCATTATTATCAAGATCACATTATTGACTTTCTACCAGTTAAAAAAAGCAAAATTACATTGTTTGTGTTTTAACCTTTTATTAATGTAGTAGCCTACTTTATGAAATTTGAATTTAAACCTAACACGGTAATGCAGGCTTGTAATCCCAATGACTTGGGAGGCTGAGGCAGGAGGATCCTTTGAGGCCAGCCAGGCAACTTATTGAGACCCTATCTCAAAATAAAATCAAAATGGTTAGGAGGTGGCTCAGTGGTAGAGTGCTTGCCTTAGTTTGTGTGAAGTCCTTGGTTCAATACCCAGTCCTATTTGAGGAAAAAAGGTAAACATATTTATGGAACTACATCATGATTTATTTGTATTGCAATAGATTCCTTAAGTTTTTCAAATGTTTTCTAAAGTGTTTCTACAAATAAGAATTTTATATTTATAAAATGTACTACTTAGTAGAAAGTCATTAAATACTTGCTTAATAAATGTAGGAAAGCTAGGTTTTGTATATATGATCTTTTAAAAAGATTTTATTTTTGTTCTTTTTAGTTATATATGACAATAGAATATAATTTGACTTATTTATACAAACATGAGTACATTTTATTCCAATTTGGATCCCAGTCTTGTGGTTGCACATATGACCTTAATTTATCTTTACCAAACCATGTAAGGTAAAGAAATGAAGGCTCAGAGGTTGAATCACTTGTTAACATCATATTAACAAGTTAAAGGCAGAAAGAATTTAACCCGTGAATTTTGATGAAAAAACTTGATGTTCTTTCTATCTAGAAATCATTTAGAGAGTATAATACAGATTTCAAATTATAATGGTGTTTAATGAAAAATATTTTGTGAATGGACATTCACATTAGATTTAATTATAAATGATGTTTTCTACTCTTTATTAGTGCCTTGTATTGAGATAGAGGATATTTTATAAGTGCTTCTTTTATAAGTTTATCTTTCTCTCTATAGCAGTCTAGCATAGAGTTTCTTTATTTCTTATGAAAATTTATTTGTTTCATGTTACCCACTGTGTACATGTTTGTCTTCCTCAGTAGTTGATAATTTTCTCATGTGTTATTTTATCATTGGCTCCTTTACACACCTTTACATTGTAGATGTGATTCAGATAAATACATATGCACCATGCATATGTATATATATTCATAGACCAAGAATGGAATTTTTTTAATATTTATTTTTTAGTTCTAGGTGTACACAATATCTTCACTTAGTTTTTATGTGGAGCTGAGAATAGAACCCAGTGCCTCATGCATGCTAGTCGAGCACGCTATCACTTGAGCCACATCCCCAGCCCCAAGAGTGGAATTTGTTAGGTCTTATTTCAATCAAGTTTTAACTTAGGTGGGGGCTGGAAAAGCAAGAGCTTAAAGGTAGAACAAACCTTCATACCTATCTCTTCCTGTACTACTGTCATCCAAATGGATCTTGTAAAGCATAGAGAATTATTGCTATACAGGTCTCAATTCTCTCTCCTCCTTCTTTTTACATACCACGCTAATCTTGCAAAGAACATCATGTATATTGTAAAACAGGAACTGATAACTATCCTGGGATAAGTGCAATAATCTTTGGTTACAGAAAATCTATAGGTATAAATAAATGGGAAGAAATTCTTTAAAATTTTAGCACAGAACAGTTGCAGAAAATTAAAATGTAAAGGAAACACTTGTTTTCATGACTTTTTTTGGTCCTATGTTCTTAGAAAGAGAATTTACAACCTTTTAAACTACAAAATGATTACATGATAATTATGTTCTAAGAGATTAAAATATACTAACTTTTCTGCCCAAAATTTAAATTGTATATATATATAAAAGTATTTTTTAAGAATTTTGCTATAACATTCCTTCTAAAAGGTAATCATTGAGCTGGGTTGTGGCTCAGCAGTAGAGTGCTCGCCTAGCACACGTGAGGCCCTGGGTTCAATCTTCAGCACCACATAAAAATAAAAAAAAATAAAATAAAGGCATTGTGTCCAACTACAATTAAAAAAAATAAATATTTTTAAAAGGTAAATTCAAGTATTTAGTGTAATTTTCCATATTCTATTAATTGAGTAATACTAATTACATACTTTCTCTTTGAGAAATAATGCCTTTGGTATGAAAATGGCAGCCTTAAAGAGTTAACTTAATTTTCTAAACTGATAAAGTAAGAATATTAAATAAGGTGACGAAATTTATACAGAAATTGCTTTACTATTAGTACTGCTGCTTTAAAATATTTAATAAATCATTTTATGTGACATTTCATTTGTATTTTCATTTGTGAAATTCTATCACAAATCTGCTGATTTGAATGCAAGGGGGGGTCCAGTGTGATGCTGGCAACACTGCTGATTTTAATTTCAAAGCAATCATTTTCTTTTTCTTTTTAATTAATTATTTATTCTAATTAGGTATATATGACAGCAGAATGCATTTTGATTCATTTTACACAATTGCAACACAGCTTTTCATTTCTCTGGTTATACACAATGTAGCATCATACCATATGTGCAGTCATACATGTACCTAGGGTAATGATGTCCATCTCATTGCACCATCTTTCCTTCAAAGCAGTCATTTTCAATGTAGAATTTTATCAGAGGTTAAAAAAATTCAACTTCATTTCTGTTAAATATTTTAGTAATTTTAATTTAGTTTATTTTTATACATTATTTTAATTATATTAATGTAATTTACATGACTATTGTTTTCAAGGAGATTCTAATAGCTAATTTTTTTCTTATTTATAGGTATATGTTTTATGGGTTAATTTTCCTCAGAAAATAGTTATTTTTCTAAGCTATTTACTTTTTCTAATACTAATGTGCTTAAGACACTCTAAAGCAAATCCCACAGGACACTGAACCACCATTTCCACCACCTGAATATCTTTTTTTTGTATAGTATTGGGGATTGAATCTGGTGCCTGTGCATGCATGCTATGCAAGTACTCTACCATCAAGCTACACCACAAGCCCCCAGTATCTTACATCTTTGCTTCAAAGATGTTTTCTTGCCAAGTGCAGTGGTGCATGCCTGTAATCCCAGCACCTCAGGAGGCTGAGGCAGGAGGATTCAAGTTCAAAGCCAGCCTTAGCAACTTAGCTAGGCCCTAAACAACTCAGTGGGACCCTGTAACTAAATAAAATAGAAAAAAGGGCTGGGGATGTGGCTCAGTGGTTGAGTGCCCCTGAGTTCAATCCCCAGTACCAAAAAAAAAAAAAAAGATTTTTTTTTTGCTCAAGAAATCATATATTCAGAAATCTGAAATTGTTTTGTGAATACATACTAAGGGTGAGGCTAAGTAATGTTTTGAAAGACCGTAAATGACAGTGTTTCTACCCTAAGGAATTTATCAAAAATGTAAACTTGTCTCTTTAGACTTTTTAAGGCATATACAGGCATATACTATATATACTAAAAGTACTATGACATATGATATAAGGAAATAAAGAAGCCCAAAGAACAGAGGCAAAGTGTGCTTTGGCAGGGGATGGGGGGCGGGTGGAGGTTGACACAAACATGGAAAGCTTCTTGGGTTAGATATGAACAGTATTTCATCCATCTGAAATTTAGAAAAGGAGAATATTTTTCATAGACCAAATAGTTATACAAGTGTGTGAGCAGTAATATGATAGGCATAAGCCTTGGCTTATAGTCCAATTCAACTGGAAAGGTATGTTAGTGCCTAAATTATGAAGCAATTTAAATATTAAACTGAAATGTAGAGTTTATAAATTTGAGAGTTCTCCATGAAACTAATAAAATAAGAAAATCTAAGTTGAAATTGGCATTGGTATGTGGCATATATTGAGAGTTGGTTGAGAAGAAATAATAGCATGGCTTAAATTTGAGCAAATTTTAATGAAAGAATCCAAAGCCATAGTAATATGGCCAACTTGGAAAAAAAGAAAAGATAATTTTAGGGTTTCAGGTTTGGATTATTGTAAGAATGAGAACGATAGGAAAAGAGGAGGTGTCAGCGGCATATATATTTCAAGGGGGAAAACTAAGTTTTAATAAATATATTAGGTCTAATCATAGTTCAGCAGCCAACCTAGTTATCACTGCCACTCCTTTTACAGCATATATATATATATATATATATATATATATATATTTGCATATGAGCAGTTGTTTTCAGATCTTGAAAACAAAAGCAGTCTTTATTTTTATAGTATATCTTAATTTATTTTTTAACTTATATTTCAACAGGAACAACATAAACAGACATTCCCATCACAGTTAAAGAAACAAGAGTCATCTAAGAGCCTGAAGAAGGTTATTGCAGCTTTGTCAAATCCAAAAGCAACCTCTAGCTCACCAGCATATCCAAAACAAACATTAGAAAACAACCACCCTAATCCATTCTTGACAAATGCACTTTTAGGTAATCACCAACCAAATGGAGTTATTCAAAGTGTCATTCAAGAAGCTCCTCTAGCACTTACTACCAAAACTAAAATACAGAGTAAGATGAATGAAAATATTGCTACTGCAAGTAGCAGCACCCCTTTTTCCTCACCTGTAAATTTGAGTACAAGTGGGAGAAGAACCCCAGGCAATCTGACACCTGTAATTCCCTCTGCCTCTTCTATATTGCATAATCAAGGGAAGGAAAAAACAGTTAGCAATAATGTAAACACATTAAAACCACAGCATCTCTCTCATCCTGCAAAATCTTTGGTGGAACAATTCAGAGGAACAGATTCAGACATTCCCAGTAGTAAAGATTCTGAAGATTCAAATGAGGATGAAGAGGAAGATGATGAGGAAGAAGATGAGGAAGATGATGAAGATGATGACTCTGATGACAGTCAATCAGGTTATTTTCCGTTTTAAATTTTAAAGTAGTTCTCTAGTTCTATGTGAACTAAAACATTTTAAAGATCTTAATTCAACGACTTGATATCATTCTCATTCATTTTGTTTCATATAGCTCTGTGCATTTCTATAATGAGCTGGTAAAATACAAGTGTAATTCATATTGGAAATTTTAATTTAAATTCTCATCTTGTTCATCTGACATTAACAATTAATAATTTTAAAGTGAATATAAATGATGCATGAATTAAACAATTTCATCAGCTTGCTTAATTTTCATTTCACTCAGGACTTCACTCTTTTTTTCCATCTCTTCTGCTACTTGTTAAAATATGTCACTACATATTTTGAACAAAGGTGTAATTTTAGTTACAATCATTCAGAAAGTAAAAAAAAAAATCAAAATCTCTATGAATGTCCATCAATAGCATAGAATTCATTAAATAACATAAGGGATTATGGAGTGACTCCTTAGTTTAATTTTGATTCATTTTCTAGTTTGTTTTTTTGAGGGGATGGAGATTAGTTTATAAAAATATAAAATAAAAAGTAAAATTTTAAATTCAGTGAAATGCATATTACATAATCTGTGGATTTGTTACTGGTAATTCAGTTATTTAACTATAAATTCTGTAGCAGCCAATAAGAATAGAAAAATATAGTCCATTATACAATTTAAAGTATAAGTTAAAAACAAACTACTTCTCAGAGTAAGAATAATCCTTCCTTATAATACATGGATATAATAATGCACGATAGGTAGTGAATATCAATATTCATCACTTTTAGAAATTAACTTTTATAATGAACCTCAATTTAGGCAGATAGTATTACACCACATAGAATTCCCCAGTCCTAGGGCTGGGGTTGTGGCTTAACGGTAGAGCACTAGTCTAGCACGCGCAGGGCCCTGGGTTCGATCCTCAGCACCACATAGAAATAAATAAATAAAACAAAGGTATTGTGTCTGACTACGAATAAAAAAATTAAAAAAAAAATTCCTCAGTCCTGTTGTTCTCAAAATCTTTATGGTACAGTCCAAGTATACGTACTATATTTATCAAAGTTAATCCAATAATAGATTTTATATATCTGGAAGAATAGGATTGCATAACTAGGAAGACTTAAATTATAGAACAGCAACTATCATATACTGCCAAAAAGGCAAAAGCAACCAAGAATCTCTCCTAGAAAACTGTTTTCTTTTACTCCAAATCCCAAATTAAGGATAATAGTGGTTCTAGACTTATCTTCCTTACATAGACTTGGTACGCTTCTTAAGCCATTGGAATCTCTTACTTTGGAAAGTCAATTATATTTCCTCTTTCTCCTTAGTTTCCCATTTTATTTAAAAGTGATTTTGAAGCCATCATGGCCATTAAGAATTAAGCCATTAAACAGAACTCATCATGTGAATAGTGTCATGTAAGAAGAATTATTTCAAGTCTTGAATAGAACTGATAATTTTAGAAGAATCTTGAGGCTTTATATGCCTACCATACATTGTTCTCTAATAGCTTATAAGATAATAATTTTTACATTTATTCTTTGGGAAAATCGATTATTTGGATTCTCAATCACAGATACTGGTTCCTCTGAACTAATCTGTTTGGATACAAAGTACAAATTATTGGTCATTATCTAGTTATAATATCCAAGTGCTTCTTTCACTTCCCAGAATCAGATAGTAATTCAGAATCAGATTCAGAAGGATCAGAAGAAGAAGATGATGATGATAAAGACCAAGATGAATCAGATAGCGATACTGAAGGAGAGAAAACTTCACTGAAACTGAATAAAACAACTTCCTCTGTCAAAAGCCCTTCCATCAGTCTCACAGCTCACTCAACACCTCGTAACCTCCACATAGGAAAAGCCCCAGGCTCTCCTCCTGCTGCCTTATGTTCTGAATCCCAGTCACCTGCTTTTCTTGGCACATCTTCTTCCACACTTACTTCAAGTCCACACTCTGGTACCTACAGTTTATTTTTATTATTGTAAAGTAGAAGTCAAACCATAGCAAGAATTTATATTTACACTGTGGTCTGGAGATGATCTCATTGGAATCAAATGTTATGGCTAGACTTTATTTAGGTTGGCTAAGAAAGTCAGCATGTATTTTCAAAGGATATTACCTGATCTATGTTAAATTTTTCCATATTTTGAATTTAAGAATCTGATTAATGACAGTTCTTGATTGAATCCTTTTCTGTTTTTGTGATCAAATGATAATTGGATTTTTTATACTTTATAAAAAATATCACCTGGACAATTCTGTTTCTGCCAACATGTAGCCAGTGTCACTTCTATTAGTAACATTCTTATTCCATTAACATCCTTTTGTTTTTTTGTACTTTATTTTTTTTACTTTTTATAAACTTCAGAGGTCTTTATTAAAAGTCTCCACATTTAACATTCCCAAACCACTGTCTATTCTAATTCAATAACTAAGAAAATATAGATTTACTGAGTAAAATATTTTGTTTTCTTTTAACTCATTTCACTCTCTTCTTCGCAATTTCTGGTTTTACTTTCATTTACCACAAACCATTATGATATCCCACTAATTTAAGATTAATTTATTTATATTTGTGAATCTTCATCTTTGTCTTTGAAAAAATTTACATATAATCATAATTCTATTTGTTTGGTGACATAGGTTAATTAAAATGCCTAGTTGTGTTTTTGGTCATGGGTGTATATGGACATAAAATTGTCTTAAAATGTATGACCCAGTTAGTTAAAATTTTTAGCATCAGAAAAGTCATATTTTCAAAGAAAACAACTATAAATAGGTTTTCTGAAGCCTCTGTTATATCCCGCCTACTTCTTCAGCCATTCCCTTAATAACAGATGGGAAGAAAGCTATGTTTTTTTTACCTTGGACTATATTTTCTTCAGAGAGTAAGACTAGTGATTCTGTCATTTAGATAAAAAAATTTTCTGCCTTATATAATGTGTTTTGTTGAAAACCATTAAAAAATCATGTATAAATTTCAGAAATACACTAATATTCCAAGTCATTAAAAATGTTTTTAAAGAAAATTTTCTAAACTGTCATAAAGTTGTCATCAATATAAATTAGTCTTTTATATTAACTAGTTGAATTTTCTTAAAGGCAATTCCAAAAGAAGAAGAGTTACAGATGAACGTGAACTGCGTATTCCTTTGGAATATGGGTATGCAAATAAGGTTTTTCTTTTTGTTTTCCTCCATATATTTATGCATGTTTGATGTGTGTGTTTTCATTCTCTACTATTACCAAAAAAAGTTAACATACTGCATAGTATTATAGTAGAAGAGCCAGAGCAAAGGGCAAACAAAACAATATATCAGAAAACTAAAATTAAACCTATACTGTGCCAAAGTATGATAGAGTTAGGGGTGGGATCATGCGGTCTTAAAAAGAACCAAGAACAAGTCATAAGGTAGAGAACAGGAATATAGTTAAGATTGTTAGATTTTGTGAAGATAGAATTAAAGGACAGTGAAAGCTTCTATATTTAAAATGAGGGACTCCAGCAGAGTTTGGCTAAAATGGTTTAATTAGAAATGACAAGTTTCAGATTGGATATACTTGATCTCAAAATGACAGAAAGCTAGATTTACTTTACTCTTCTCACTTTAAGCTTTTCAGATGTAAATATATACTCTGTATATTCTCACACATGTAACTAAAATGTCTAAGTGCTCAAACTAATTCCAGTTATGATTTCTAAAAAATGTAATAGAGTTTAATGTTTGTAAATTGAATCTTTGATTAATTTTTTAATTGAATCTACATAGTTTCAGTAGTAAATTATTTGAGTTTTATGGTTAGAGATTTATTTTTGTTTTCTTTATATTTTTCATGATTTGAAGAAGATGTATACTTTATATCTTTTTTTTTTTTTTTTTTAGTTTTTGAAAGCTATGTTAAAAGTAAAGTATGTCATAACCCTCCTTTCTGTTATATGTAGCTGGCAGAGAGAGACAAGAATAAGAAACTTTGGAGGGCGCCTTCAAGGAGAAGTAGCATATTATGCTCCATGTGGAAAGAAACTTAGGCAGTACCCTGAAGTAATAAAGGTACATATTTTTCACCAAATAACATATATTTGGTGCATATTAAGCATGCTCATGCAAAGAAAAAGTGCATTCCTTTCTCACATAAACTTTTTGATGCAAAATATTCTCTTGTGTGGGTCTAAAATGCTTAACCTAAGTTGATCTACAAATTCAAAGCCCCCTTGATAGTATATACAAAACATTAGTGTCCTGAAGCTAGCTATACATCAAAGCTGGGTTGTAATTATTAAAACCTGAAGTGGAAAAATATGTGATTTTTTCAGTATCTCAGCAGAAATGGAATAATGGATATCTCAAGGGACAATTTCAGCTTCAGTGCAAAAATAAGAGTGGGTGACTTCTATGAAGCCAGAGATGGACCGCAGGTATCCACTTTTTAAAAAGTATAGTCTTTGAACCAAAAAGTAGTAACCATAACCTCAATGAAGTAAATTTCACTACTGAAATTAGTCAAAGCATTGCCTTTTGTTAGTTAATTAATATAGCTATATATAAAACTTTGTGGTAAACACTAAGGCCTCAATTTACTCTGTTTCAGTAACAAGGAGCTTTGACATACAGACTTCTTTTTCATATTTAAGTAAACTTTTTCCTGTTTATTAATTCAGTCAATAATTTTATAGTTTATACTGACATAAAAGTAACTGCATGTTAATGTAAAATATAGGGAGAAATATACTACTTCCTAAAAGGTCAAAAAAAATTTTTAAACTAATGCATATAGGAAAATCACATTATTGTAAATGAGTCCAAGAGAGGATAAATATGCTTTAGTTTTTTGAAAGGAAAGAAATTAAATTTCCACTTGATTAAGTCACACCATGTGATGTACTTTCACAAGTTTTGTAATTTGAAAGTAAGGATCCTTAAAATTAGGGAAGTGAAATTTTTATGTTTCTGCAGAAACTGAATTTTAAATTAATTACACACATTTATCATCACAGTTTCCTTTGAGCTTGAAGTATACAAACTATCAGTCACCAAAAAGAACCTTCTAAGAAGATCTCATTTCCTGTGTGTTTCCTTTAATGTTTTCCCTTTATTCCTTACTTGTGCTTTGTATGCTTATTATTTCCTTTGACATTATCATCTCCATTGAAAGGAGTCCCCTTTTAAGGAGGGATGAGACCTAGATTCTTGTTAATCCATAAAATAGTTTTGTGATTCTGAACAACAGTAATAAAATAATACCCTGTTCTCCTTTAATTTATTTATATGCCAAATAGAATAATAATTACACTTGCCTCCTAGAATTATGGCAATGTTAAAATTAGATCATATGCATGAAAATGTTTCAAAAAGGTTAAAATGGTCAGCCAACTGAAGGTGATATTTGTTTCTTTAATTATATATATACATACACACACGCATATATATTCTTTTAGTTGTAGATGAACACAACATCTTTTTTCATTTTTATTTGGTGCTGAGGATCAAAACCGGTGCCTCTCACATGTGAGGCAGGTGCTCTACCACTGAGTTATAGCCCCAGCCCAATATTTGCTTTCTTCATTGAACCTTTCTTTCGACACATTATAATCTACAGAAAGAAATTTTTTTCTGGCATTGAGTATTTTCTTTGTGAATAGGAAGACTTTTCAATCCTCTCTTACCCAGTGATTTTATAGAGAGAGAAGTAGAAAAGACTTTCCCATTCTGTAATTTTAAAAGACTTAGGGATTTTCTAAGGATACATGGTCTTAAAAAGAACTCAAGGTTCTAAAAAATATGCTTTCATATACATCATGTAACCTATTTTCTGCCATTGTTGTCCATGACTTTTTAAGGAACAAATTGTTTGCAGATCTATTTGACTCTTTATTGGTAGTTCTAATATACAAAAATGTATTTACCTCAGGTTTAACTTTTTTATAAAAATATATTATGTGATTTTTTTTCATTTTTCTTTTTACTTGTTAACACACAACAACAACAACGATTTAGACTAAAACTGCCACCAACCACCAAATAGCACCAACCACAGTGCTATTTTACTCATCCATATGTATAGGATCAGGTTTTTAGTCAGAAAACATAAGGTAATAATTTTTTTAATTCTTATTTTTAATCTTTGGTTCATATTATAAGCTCCTCACTTATTTATGCCAAAGATATTTTATGTTTTTAAATTCACTAGATTTTTGCTCTAAGAGTAAAGCTAATTGCTATTCAATATATAAAGGATTTTTAGTTTTGTATCAGTGATAATTAGACTTAATCTATAAAGCCTTATTACCCAAAGCAGAATGTTCTTTGACATTCATTCACTTTTTATTAAACATAATCAGTGTTGTTCAAATGCATATTGTCTGTTAAAATCAATTCCAATCAACAAAATATGATGAATTACTAAAATCATAATATGTTCAGCTGTCAACATTTCCACAGAGTGCTAGGAGGAAATATTAGCAATTTTGAAAGCACTTCTCTTAGTTAAAATAAATGAGTGAGTTGGATTCATTTCAGGATACTTTTAGAGAACAGGTAAGTAATCTAAATAGGTGTTTTAGAAAATTAATTAGAGAAGTGTATAGTTGTAGAGCCATATGCACTTCTTTCATTTGTATAGATAAGCATATGATTAATTAGATATGTGTATAATTATGTAAAAATTGGTTACATATTTTTGTTTGAGTAATCATATGAAATTATTTTGATCAGTTTAAATTCTGCACAATATCTACAATATAGTTTGGCACAAATGAAATACTACCATGCAGTGATAATTATATGTATTTATAATGTATCTAACTTTATACACATTTTATTAGTGATTTAATGGCTAAAAATGTATCAAAAAGCAAAATTGTACATACCAAAAGATCAAAAGGAAATGTGTCAAAACTTTAAAAATGCGTGTAATATTTGACAGTAGAGTGGATTTTTTTGTTTTGCTTTTTATGTTCTTTTGTATTTTGTTTTCTGAAATTTTTTTGTATTAAGTATTTAATGTAAAAAACAATATCTTTTAAAAATAATACTTCTCCAGGTTGTAATTCAAATAAAGCTTAGAATTTGTGGTTGGAAATTGTAAATAATGATCGCAAATGTTCCAGGCTTTATATATCCATTGAGTGATAGGAAATGATATGTTTTTTTTACATATTCATTAGTACTCTTGTTTGTTGGTTTTCACCATCCTGGGACTATAGCATCTAGGTCCTGGTACATGCTTGGCAGGCGCTCTACCACTGAGCTACATCTCTACCCTTATAAAAATATTATTTTTAAGAAGGTCTTCCTGAGTTGCCAATGCTGGCTTTGAACTTGTGATCAATCTGCTTCAGCCTGCCATGCTCCACTGTCAACAGCTTAATTTATTTATAGCATTTTATTTTTTTTTTTACTTTTATTTTTTTAAATATATATTTTTTAGGTGTAGATGGACACAACACAATGCCTTTATTTTTATATGGTGCTGAGGATCGAACCCGGGTCCCGCCCATGCTAGGCGAGTGCTCTATCTCTGAGCCAAATCCTAGCCCTATTAGCATTTTAAATCAGTCTCCAAATAAAATATTTTACTTGTAAATATGTTTTCACCATCATGTTTTTCTTTCTTCTCTTAAAATATACCATTAAAAATTATTAGTTCTGCAGGTTCTAGTTTTAATTGAAGCTTTTCAAAAATTGCATCAGTGGTCTTTCAAAGCTTTATATTTTATAGATGAAACTACGGAGATAATTTCTCCTAGAAGGTAAATACCTGCAATGGAGAATGATGATTATTTTGTATAAATTAATCATTTTTTATTTAATGTTTCTGATATTAAGATAATAATTAAATACGAATTTTTAGCAATAAACATTTGTTGAAAATAGTGACTAAGGGCTGGGGTTTGTAGCTCAATTGTTGAGCGCTTGCCTTGCATGCATAAGGCACTGGGTTCGATCCTCAGCACTATATAAGAAAATAAATAAAACAAGATATAGAAAAAAAAGAAATAGTGATATGTATGATAACTCATTTATTGACATTTAAGTGAATTCATTCTTACCCAAAGAACAACAATCTAATGATTACCTCTAAAAAGAAAAAAGAAGCCCTTAATTTGAAGTGAATTGAGTAATTAAGATATGGGGGTAAAAAGCCTTTAATCTATTCATTATCAGTTTTATTTATTTCAGTCCACAAGTATGGTCAGAGATTTGTAGAATCAGCCACCTCTCAGCATCTACTGATAGATATCAAACACTTCTTACTACCTTAACTTTAGGGGTGATAAACATCATGAAACAAATAGTAATGTTGTCTGTAAGTCTGTGCTATACTGGCTAGCTACCTTCTAATGAAGTTCTGTGGGCTGTTTTAGCCTCTTTAGTTTAGAAAAGGGTATAAGATAAGATAAAGAGGTTTTTTTAAAATTATTTTCTTTATTATTTAGTTACTTTAATTAGGTATCCTGTAATTTCTTTCTTTCTTTCTTTTTTTTTTTTTTTTTTGGTGTGGTGCTGCGAGGAAAGCATTCTACCAACTGAGCTATATCCACAGCCCAAGAGTTTTTTTTTTTTCCTTTTTAACAGATTTCTGTTCTGTTACATTATATAGAACTTGTTGAACCTAATGCTTGTCATTTATTTTATTTTAGTTTATTGTCAGAATAATAGAAAGTAAGGTCAAGTTAGATTTTGGTAAAACATAGTTTTTTTGTTTAACTAAATATAATGCTAAAATAAAAGTTATTCACATTTTCCTCAGAATATATGAAAGTTTCAATTATAAGTAACAGAGATTATTTTAAAATATATAATGATCTACTAAAAAACATTTTTTGTGAATTATAGAAAAAAACATTTAAGCACAAATATTACATTTATGATCATTTAAAAAAAAAACACCTGGGAATTTCAGAAGCATTTCAAGTGTTGAATATCTAATCACTCAGTCCAAAAATGCAAAGGAAGATACAAAGATGAAACAATTAAAAATAATGCTGAAATCATTGCTTTTTTTTTCTATTTAAGATGTTATATTTGGGGGAAAAAAGCATTCTTCAAATGGTATAATGCCATATGGAAAATAAAGTGTAGTTCTTTCTGAAAAGAGCCTTTTTTCATAGTCATTTAGTTAATAAATGTTTATGGCAAATATATTTAACGTGGCAGGCATTTTTCCCTCAAATAAATGTTGTCTGAAGGCATTTTTTCCATAAGAGAAATTGTGAACTTATTTTTTACTGCAGAAAAGTTGAAAGCCAGAAGTTGAATAAAAATCACTGTTACTGGAGAGACTAAAGAAAAATAGAAGTTATGATCATTGGTTTAGAGCACCCTGTTCTGGAGAATTTATTCTGATGCTGACCAGCTAAAATTAAGATTTTGTTAATTAAATGTAAGAGGAAACTTCACAATAAGTTAGTCAACA